CGGACTGACCAATGGCTTGCAGAGCATGCTGCAGCTCCAAAGTAAAGGCCACCATGGGCACCTCGGCACACACTGGCAGGACTGCCACCGTTGCCAGGTTGCTGGCTGGGTTGGTAAGCTCCGAGTGAGGGGGGACGCCTAGTCCCGAGCCTGCTGAGACCCCAATGAAGGAGATTTGCTGTGCAATCCTGCGTCTGGAGAAGGAGACCTGCCTCCTCCTCCTCAGAAATCCCCGCCCTTCATCATCTAACTGAGTCTTAGTGAAGCCACGCAAGAGGTTGTGGCCTCAGTCCTGGACCCACAGCCTCACCCCATACCGTCTTGATAAGACCTAGATATGTGACCTTCAGTTTAGGATCCATTACATAATTCTATAAGCACTCCACTGTGCCTGTGTGGACAGATCTGTGCCCCTACCCCATTATGGCCTTGGTGCTTCCGTCCACTGAAGAAACTTGAACACGAAACTATGCAGAAACAAATATATTTTTGACCTATCTGTTGCTTCCCAGCTTCTCCACTAACATTCTAGACCAAGCCCTCACCCCCCTCTCTTGCCTGGACCTCCCACTGGCTCCTCCCCTCCAGTTGCTTCCCATAACAGTCTGAATAAGCTTAAATGTCTTTCTGGGGCTCCCAGCCCCTATGTGACCTGACTCCTTCCCCCCATTTCTCCCCCTTGCTCACTTTCCTCCTTGAAGGGCTTCAAAACCACAAAACCCTGTGTGCAGGGCCTTCCTAGTTCTCTTCAGTGCCACACCCTATCTCATTTCTGCCTCTGGGCATGTCAAGTCCCAGCTCATTGTCCCCAGAAAAACCTCCCTCCCTCCCTTCATCACACTCCATCAAGACCTTCTTTTGTTTTCTTCACTGTACGTGTTGGGTTGTGATGTCACACTTTTTCTTTGTATTTTTCAAATATCTTGCTTGCCAAGCTGTAAACCCTTCTAGGAGCCTCGTCTGTCTTGTGCACTCTCCCTAATCCCCCAACCCTGGCATCCAGCACAGGGCCTAGTACATATTAGGTGCCCCCCTGAAAATTTTTCCATATCCCATCAACAGAGAGGCACTCAAGGGTCTGAGAGCTTAATGTTTCTGCCAGCAAGACTGCCCCACAATTGTGACAAGGGTGGACCAATGGCCTGATGGAAAATGAACAGGCATTTGTACACATGGGCCAAAACTGGGGGGAAAAAAAATCTGTCAGAGAAGACCCTGAGCGTGGGGGCGTCCTTAGCCAAGGCTCCCCACTGCCCCCTACCATCCAGGTGTCAAGGCCAAAGGGGCAGAAGACCCTGAAGGGAAGGAGGAGCAGCTGGGCTGATTCAGGGTCGGTTCTCCCTTACATAGAACCTCTGGTCCATATTTCCACGCACCTGAAGTCCAACTCCATTCCCAATGTGCCCTAACTCAGCAAACTACACCTTCCAGCTGGCCAGTAACTTCAGAAGCCAGTTCCCAACTTGGCCCCTGGCCCCCAACTTCCACCCCACGGACTTCAGTTCCCAGCATACTCTTCTGGGACTCCCTCCCCCAGTGTGCTCAGGATGTGGACTCCATTCCGCCCGCAGGCCCTGACACCCAGAAACAAGTTCGCCCCTAAAGATTCCGCCCGTTGGCAATGACAGATACTTTAGATTCCGTTAAAAGCATGGCCTGGGTCTAGGGCTCTGTTTCCCGGCGTGCCCAGGACCCCGAACTCCACCCCCCCACCCCTGCCAGCAAGCACCGGAAATCAGATCCCACTCCTACTTTAAGCGCCACCCAGCGCGTGGTTTATACGCCGGACTCCACTTCCCAGCATGCCCAGGGCTTCGGGCTCCCCCTCCCAGCGTGTTCTAGGCGTCGGACTACAACCTCCAGCATTCCCGGGGCCAGCCGGCTCTCACCTGGGAAAGGCCCTTGCAGCTGCTGCAAATTCCCTAAAATCTTCTGGCTTAGCAGGTGGATGAGGCGAGTTACGACCTGGGGCATGGGAAGCCATCCAATGAGACGAGAGGGGCAACTGTCCGAGTTCTACTTTTCCCTCCTCCTACCGGGGTGCCTGGGTCCCCGTTACTTGGGTCCCACTCCCAAGAGCCCTGCTCTTAACGCGAGGGCTTCCGTCTCCTCCCTGCTCCCTGGGGCTCTATCCCCCACCCCACTCTGTCCCCACTATTAGGCCCTGCCCCCTCGGGCCCCGCCCCCCATTAGGAGACCAGCCCACACAGCTTGGAGCCACACGAGCCACACCTGAGGGTATCGACGTTTGATGTGGCCCAGGGTGCCCTCCGGGAGTTTGGCCAGCTCCGTGTCGCGCACAGCGTGCACCGTCGTGGCACGAGGCTGCCGTGTCAGCGCCTCCACCTGGGGGCCCCCCCAGTGCATGACCAGGGCTGCTTGAGCCGGGAGGCCCCAACAGGAAAGGGGGAGCCGACCGTGGGTGCAGACAAGAGGCGCTACCGCCCTACCCCGACAGACCCCCCGATATGGGTGCAAATCAAACCCCACTCATTAGGGCTTCGGGGAGACGGTTAGGGATCTAGGCCCAGCGGGAGGCGGGGGGATTGTCTCCTCTTCTAATAAAGGTCTGGGGCCGGAGTCTGATCAAGACTCACCACCCCAGGAATTTGCCCCCTTCTCCTGCTCACGGAAAGGACCGGGCTCGGCCCATCAGATTACCTGGGACGATGTGTTTGTTGGGAGGAGTAGTGGGGGGAACCCGTAGTGGGAGTGATCAGAGGGCAGTGGGTGGCGCGGCACTCACCACCCCAATGAGATCCCCGCGGCCGTACTCGCCCACCAGCTCCTTCTTGCCGCTGCCCCGCTGGATGACGCTGCGCAGCCGCCCATTGAGCACAATGTAGGTGCAGTCGGAGCGGTCGCCCTGCCTGGGGTGGGGAGCAGGTCAGACAGGGTCGGGGCTGGGTCTCGGGCAAGGCTCGAGCTGCAAGAGAGGGCAAGGGCTGCACCTGTACAAAGCCCGTCCCGCCTCCACAGCCGTCCAGTCGATGGCAAAGTCCATCTGGCGCACGAAGGGCGACATCCGCGCGGCCACGGTGTGCGCGGCACTCAGCACCACACTGGGCTGTGCACGCATGATCCTGGAGGGGAAAGTTAGGGTTGGATGGGCTGGGGGGGGGCGGTGCCCTGGAACATTCCTTAGGAAGCGGAGAGGGTGGGTGACAGCCTGGCGGTGGGATCAGAAGGGCTCAAAGCTGCCCTGGAGAGGCGCTGGGCATCCAGAGGGATGACCTCTGCCACAGCAGAACGGAGTCGAGTGGGGGCCCTCCAAGTGCCACTCCCACCCCACGGGGCAGGGGGGCGCCCAGCCATACTCATAGAAGTCGGACTTAGAGATCCTCAGGAAGGTGCAATCTCGCTGGGCTCTCAGTGTGAAGATGAGGGGCTCGCCCGTGAGCACTGCCAGCTGCCCCACCAACTCCCCAGGTTGCGCGACGAACAGGCACACATCCTCTGCCTTGTCGATCATGCGCTGGTAGACATGCAGGCAGCCCCACAGCACAAAGTGCAGGCTCACATCCTGTGGGGCAGAGGCAGAGATGGGCACACGGGCAAGTCCCAGCCCCCACCCAGCTCAAGGCACCCAGAGGAAAGGCTAAGGAAGGAAAAGTGGAAGGGGGGAGTAAAGGCTTTGGATAGCTCTGAGCTGCACAGCACATGTATATAATTCCCATTCAGCACCCAGAGCAGACATTACTAATGGATTACCAAAACCTGAGCTCAGATTAAGGCCCATATTTTTTAAATAAAGGTTTTATTTTATTTTTAGGTAACCTCTATGCCCTCTATATATGCATCTTCCATCACCTCAGGTCATGATCTCAGGGTCCTGGGATCAAGCTCCCTGCTCAACGGGGAGTCTGCTTCTCCCTCTCCGTCTGCCCCTCCTCCCTGCTCATGCTTCCTCTCTTTCTCTCTCAAATAAATAAAATTTATAATAAAGAAAAGATGCTAAAAATCATCACTCACTAGGGAAATTCAAATCAAAACCATGAGATGCTCCTGCACACACTAGGATGACTAGCATCAAAACATGTTAGGATGTAGAGCAATTGAAACTCTCATCACTGCTGGTGGGAACATAAAATAGCACCAGGGGCGCCTGGGTGGCTCAGTTGTTAAGCGTCTGCCTTTGGCTTGGGTCATGATCCTGGGGCCCTGGGATCCAGCCCCGCATTGGGCTCCCTGCTCCACGGGAAGCCTGCTTCTCCCTCTCCCACTCCCACTCCCCCTGCTTGTGTTTCCTCTCTCACTGTCTCTCTGTCAAATAAATAAATAAGATCTTTTAAAAAAATATAAAATAAAATAGCACCACTGCTTTGGAAAGCAGTCTGGGAAAAGTCAAAAACAGTTCACAAAAAGTTAAAAGTAGGATTGCCCTGACCCAGCAACTTGACTCCTAGATATACACCCAAAAGAAATGGAAACCTACATCCCCACAGAAATTCATACAGAAATCTTCGCAGCAGCATTGTGCATAATAGCCAAAAGGTGGAAATCACTCAAATGTCCATCAGATGAAGAACGGATACACAAAATGCAGTAGGCCCACACAATTGATTATTTCATCATGAAGGAGTGGCACCAACACACTACAGTGTGGATGAACCTTGAAAACATGATGCTAAGTGAAAGAAGTCAGCCACAGGGGGCCACATCCTGTGTGATTCCATTTATGTGAAATGTCCAAAACAGGCAAATCTATAGAGACCTAAGATTAGGAGCTACTGACCGCTGGGGTGGGGGTTAGGAGGCAGGAGGGGGATAGCTAAAGGGTATGAGCTTTCTTTTCAAGGTGACGAAAGTATTCTTTCAATTCAAAATTGATAGTGGTGATGGTTGCACAACTCTGTGAATGTCCTAAAAACCACTGAATGTCTTATGTAGATATACTATAAATAATTTCATGTGTGTGTATACCTGGATCTATATTTTTTCCCAGTTCCCTTGTTCCACTCCATCCCTGTTGACTTCCTTTTGTTTCCTAGAGGTCACATATCCTACTCCCACCACAGGATATTTGCACAAGCTTTCCCTCTGCCTAGAAAGTTCTTTTCTCCCTCTTGCACCTAGTTAATTCCTCCCCATCCTTCCTACTTAGCTGGAGGTCACCTCCTCAGAGTTGCTACCCTGCCTGAGCCAGATTTTGTAAAGCCAAGAATGTCTTTTATGTGTAAGCATGAAGCACGTACGGTTTTACAAGAATTGGAGTTAACTCTTTGAGTGCAATGTCGGTCAGAACTGTGGGCTTCCCAAGGACAGGGATCTTGCTGGCGTTTCCTGCCTCTGCAGCCCCAGGAGACGCATACACGTGCTGGAATCTTCTAAGACAGAACTTCCAGACTCCGTTTGGGATATGAATGGGAGTTACTAATATTAAGCTGCCATTTGTCATCAGATTGGGAAGCAAGTCTCTTCACAGCAGGACTTCTCAGAGCCTTGAATATGCTAATGGTGTTCACCAAGAGCTTCCACAAAGGGATTAAATAGCCAACATTTCCCAAATCTGTTTGAGCACAGATCCTTTGTTTGTGATACAGGTGTTCCATGAAGCACACTTTGGGAAATGTCTGTAAAACAGAGCTTCTTAACCTTTGCACTATTAACATTTGGGACTGAATAATTCTGCTGCGAGGCGCTGTTCTGTGCATTCTTGCATCTCTGGCTTTTACCCACTAGATGCCAGTAGCATCCTCCCAAGTCAATAAAAAAAAGTCTCAACATTGGCAAATGTCCCTGGAGTGGTCCTCGGGTCAAAGTTTCAAGGATTAGAGAGGAAAGGTCAGTAGGTCCAGAGCGCAAGAGGGATCAGAGTATAGCATCTAGGGGCAGGGATGGAAATCACACACTGAGAGAGATCTACACATATGGTCAAGGGGTAAGGTTCAGAGGTCAGAAAAAGGTCTTGGGTCGGAGTTGCATTAGAGACCAGGGGTCAGCCTCACCTGGTCCCCCTGGCGAGCAATGATGGTACCAGCTTTGGCATGATGCAGCAAGACCCGGCTGCTCAGGAGGGCGGGGTCCTGGAGAGAAAGGGGGCTTGAGATGGGCCCCTGTGGGCCTCCCCGCCCCCCACCCC